AAGAATGGGGCTCGGAGTGCAACCAAAGCCAGAGACGGAGCCACAGTCGGGGCCGGGGCCGGGGCCATAAATCCACTGCCGAACACCGCACAGGTGGTCAACCTGGGCGGCTCGCCCTGCTGATATTTAAAACAATCTGTTGTGCTTTTCAATTACTTTATAGTACGTACACGACATACGAACGAACTGAGCGAACGATCGGCCCGGGCCTGAGCTCTCGACTGGCACTGCGACTGAGACCGGCCATAAAAAGAATGAAAACAGGAGCGGATCTGCATCAGATTCGGACAGTACTAGAGCTATTCTAAGTTCTAAGCAATTCCATGGTCTGGTTTATAAAGTCTAACCAATTCCCTGAGGAGTTCCTATATAGATTCCTATAAAATCTTGGGTATCCTCAAAAGTTTCATATCAATTTCATATGTGCAAAATCCCTGCATTCCGCCCCTGATCCAACCGAATGCGCTCCTGTGCTGGAGCTTGTGTGTGTGCCCCAAAACATTGGCGCAAGAAAATATGAGAAGAAGAAGAAGAAACAAATCTTATGAGCCGAGCTGTGCTATTAATTGTTTTATTAAGACATTTCAAGATTTAACATGCCAGATACGCTACAGCAGGAATGGCAGGGCATAGCAGGCTGTCGAAGGAGGGAAACCACCTCAAATCCACCACAAGCCCAGACCCGCACACCCTCAGACCTTCGGACACTTGAGAAAGGTCTCCTTCTGTAGCGCATTGAGAGAGCGCCACAAACTTGACCCACACTCGGGGATCGGCACGGATCGGACTCCCAGACCCAGACCCAGACCCAGACTTTGACTGGGATCTTCTGCAACGGTGCCCCCAAGATGATGATTATAATCATCATCATTGTATGCGCTTGACTGCGTGATCGGTCGGCGCTCTCGGGATGATGATGAGGATCTTTTGGTGTGGTCTCTCGGGGTCTCGAGTGCTTTGCATCTCTTTGATCCGCGGAAGATTGATGTTAATGTCGGTGTGAACACACTTATTCGCATATTTGTTTTGCTGATGTGGTGGCAACCCTGCCCCATGGCCCATGCCCCATTGCCACACACGACGATCATCCCAGCCCGTGAGCTATCGCCACTAATAGAGCCATAAAGCGAACATTTATTGATCTACAAATTATTTTGAGCCGCCGCTGAGCATCGATCGGAGCATCGATCGGCTTCACTTGGTATTTTATTTTATTTTGTTTTATTTTTTCGGCTTTTCGGGTTTTCGGTGGCTTTTCTGTGGTAGTAGTAGGGTAATCTAAATATTCATTAGTCGCTTGATTGGTCGGTTGATCGCCTCAGAGATCGCAGCGTTCTTTTGTTTTAATTTCATTTTTATGGCCTGGCCCCGAGAAACGGCTCGCGGGTGGTCCCCGGAGATCAAAGTTCCTGATGTGTTCATTAGGGTGAAAGTCAGTCAGTCATTCAGTCAGTCAGTCCGTCAGTCGATCGGCAGGGGCTGTAGGCTGAATCTAGAGCGGCAGATTGCGTTAATTGAGAGGCCCTAAAAGTGCATTAATTTAGTCGAAATATCCATAGAAGCGTAAAGCGTTCACACCTCAATTGCACAAAAGCCAAAGCCAAAGCAACGAGTCTATTAAGGCAGGCTCGGAGCCCGAGATACACAGCTTTAGATACAGCTACAGATACAGATACTCTGGCTAGCCGTATCAGTGTCGTTGAGTCGTTGAGTCGTTGAGTCGACTCCGAGGCGAGGCAGTGGCTGCCACCTGATGATGCCTCCCCTGTATCTGTATTGATTTCAGTTTCTTAATGAAATTGTTTGCTAATATCAGCGGAAAATGCGGTTTGCCATTTGTCAAACCAGTTGGCCGGATCCATGGACCCAATCAATGTTATATCTGTAACCGATATCTGAACTGATGCAGGGGTGGCGCAGGCGCAGGGGCAGGCATTTGAGGTGTGAGGTGCGCTTAAAAGATATTCTCGCTGTGACTCTACCATATTGTATCTTTCGTTTACTTTCATTTGCCGACTTCAATTCTGTTTTTTCTGTGTCTTCTGACACCTCCGCGACTCCCTGTGGCATATTCAATGAAGCGCCTTGGGATGAAAGAACACGCGAGAGAGGACACGTTTGCCAAAGCCAATTTCATATGCAAAGCTGGCAAGGGCTATGCAAATCAGTTAGTACGCGTAATAGTCGACAACAACCAGGCACCGTGCACTTGATAGAGCAATTAAGAAATATTGTACTCGTATGTTTAAATATTTTCATGCAGGAGAGCAAATTATGCGATGGAATGCTGTCATGTTTGCCTTTGGCGTTTGGCTAAGCGCTTAAATGGCTATTTTTGAGCACCAGTCCGCAGCGATTGAGCGATAGACAAAACGCTGACAGAGTTGCCAGGCATCGGCATCGACATCGACATCGGCACCGGCATCGGCATCGTTTGTCATCCATCCATCCATCGCAGTCGAGTGTCGCACTGTCGCACTGTCTCCGTGTCAATCATTTCAATTAAACGTGCAATCAAATCGATGAGCAACGCGTCGTCATGTCAATATTCATCAGCCAGCGATTGACGCTAACCGCAGCTTTAATTTGCCCCTCCCCTCCAGCTCCCCATCCAGCCATCCATCCGCGAGGTTACCCGCCGAGAATCGCCCTAATCTGATGACCAGTTTTGGGGGACAGGCCCTGATCCATCATCGATCGCGCAGGGCGGAGGCTGGAGAGAGAGCTTTCACTTTTTCACATGTAAATATTGCCCCGACAACGTGTTGTCTTTTATGGCTTATTAATGATCTTGACTCGAATGTGCGATCATTAGATACAGATACAGATACAGATAGGAGAGTGCCCCAGCCAAGATCTAATCGGAGAGCCAAATGTTGTGTCTCCAAACAGATCGCTTACAACGAAGCTCGGCTCCAGCTCCGGCTCCAGCTCATGTGACTGGTTCTGCCTAGACAGGGGACAGAGGGGGACCGGGGCTCAGAGGACAGACCGGCTCCATCTCCACATCTCTGTATCTTTAGCTGTAGCTGTACGAGTATCTGTATCTGTATCTGTATCTGTTTCGGTCTCCGTTTCTGGCTCCGTCTCTGTCTCTGACTGTGGGCCTGGTCTCGTCTGGTCTGGTCTGTGGCTCCCCTGTGACGCGGTCTGGTCGGGACTGTGTGTGGCCCGTTAGTTTGAGATCTTTATAAGTCAATTTCGGTTTTGCTGCGATCTGAGAGTTCCAGAGAGTTCTCTGCGCTCAGAGCGTGAGTTACGAGTGTCGTTTGGGGGACTCCCTTCCCTCTGGACTATGCTCCTGCACGGAGAGCCAGGAAAGCCAGGGAGCAGGGAGCATCGATCGATCCTTAATTGCGCCCTCACATTCGCGGGTTCATTCATTTGCTGGCCGAGCAACGGGATGCCTGCTTTTGGCATTTGCAACTCATGTTAAGCATAAATAAAACAAATGCGTTTACTTAAAACATATGCCCCAGTGGCAGGCAGCGGCAGGCAGTGGCAGGCAGCGGCAGTGGCTCTCTTTTTGCTTCTGGCCCGGCCAAGACTGGCCGTTGCCAAGTTGGGTCATTGGGGCTGCTGCTGATGAAGACATCTTCCCGTTTTTGTTTCGCCTGCTGTCTGCTGTCTGTTCGTAGTTGTTGTTTTGCCTCCTTTTTTTTTTGATGAGCTTCTGGCAAATGAAAAGAATTTATGTGAATGTGCGAAGACGGGGCCGGGTCGGGAGCGTTCCGTCTGTTTTTGGTGCGGCAACATTTGAGCCAGGTTTTAGCATAAAACAAGGCCAATTCTGGCCACTTCTTTTTGCTCGGATGCGCCCGGCTGCAGACGTTTAAAGGAAGGGCACTGAGATATTGGGAGCAGCCTATGGTAACAAGTTTGACAAGCGCAGAGAAAACCTTTAGACTTTATCGGAAATATTCTTGCCAAGAAAATAGACCTGTAGCCCTCATCAGAGCAAAATAATTACCAGTAATTACTCAGCCACTGTTCATTATAATCGATCCCATAGATATCCCCTTAAATGCGCACTTTCCCAAGCCCCAAAGCTACTACAAGAACACCATCATTGATTGAGTTCATATAATTTATATTAAAGCCAATTTGGGCCCTGGGCCAACCCTCTGGCAAATACCACGTTGAAACTTTTATTGTGTCAAAGCAATGAAAAATTTAACACGCTATAAATCACAATTTCCACAACAACACAACAGAACAGAGGAAAAGCTGGGCAACAGAGAAAAGATTTGACGCTGCTGGCAATTGTTGCATTTTGTTGCGGGGGAGGCGAACAGCCAACCCCTTGGCCATGTCCTTGCGACGCTGTGGCATGCAGCCCGAAGCTTATCTCTGCTTGCCAACGTGCTCTTACAGCCCGCGTTCCACTGGGGGTGGTAGTCGGGGTCACCATGACACGGCAGTCACCATCGCCATCGTCTCCCGGGTGTCTGACAGGTTCAAGGTCTGTGTATCCGTCCGTCTCCGGAGAAGGTATTTGCTGTCGGCTGCGTGTGAAATTTAAAACCGTGATAACACCTCCTAATGGCCACGCCCCCGCTCGAACTTTTCTCCTTATTTCCCCCCGTATTTCTGTGCATTTTTTTTGTGCCGTATTCCGGTTTAATTTCGCGCCCTTCGGCCGCCTTGGCATTTCGTTGACAAAATTGATTTGTTCAATTTTTCCAACGATTTAACTTAGGGCATGACTTGGCCTGGCCTGGCTTGGCTTGGCTTGGCTTGGTTGCGTTGCCATTAGTGCCGCTACATTTGTTTTGAAGGTTGTTGCCTGCCGGTCCCCCAGATAGGATGGCATGGAGGGAATTTCTGCACGTTTCGCCGGCAAAAAAGTTGAAGTTTATGTTCGCTGACGTCGTGGAATTTAATCAATTTCCGATATTTTATTGATTCACGTTAAAAGTAAATTAAATTTTAAATTGTTTACCCAAAAAATTCTACTTGATTTCTAACACTCTTAATCTTTTCCTTTTATATCGTTGCAGGTCGAAGTAAGTAAAGGAAGAAAGGACGAGAACACTTTGGACTGGAAGTCAGTCAACGGGAAGCGCGAATGGATCAATATGATGGAGGTCAAAGTCTGATAGTTCAGAGTGGAGTAGGGCAGAGGGAGGGATTCTCATCGATGGGAATCCAAAAGTAGGACAATAAATCGAAGAAGTAGATGGGTTGGAAATATGTTTTGGAAGAGAAAATAAAGTTGAATAGGATAATATGCCTCTTTGATTTTTTAGAGTATGAAGCCTTATTGGATACAGATTTATTAAGTTAAAGGATGATTTGAAGCATTTGATTCTTAATCTATTCAGAATTGACTTCTTTACAATAATCTTCGATGGAGCAAACAACAACATTTGAACGTGTCCTCATGAGTTTCTTGAGCCTCCTGCCACAAACATTCCCAAAGGCCTTATGATAGATGGAGCTCTTAAATTACAAAATACTTTCGACATATTTCCGTCCGAATTTGCTTCCCAAATACCCCAGAGAACATCTTGCGGTCACTTGAAGCTCCGGCTCTGACCGAAATATTCCCATTAGTAAAACCTCATAATTGCTTCATCTTCCGCTTTTCCGTTTCCATTTAAGTGTCAGTTTTCAAACTATTTCCGAAACGAGCGTAACTTTTGAGACCCAGCCCCAGCGCCCCATAGTGGAAGCACTTTTGCATTTTGGATAGAATTTTATTTGCTCTGAAGAGGTTTTCGTTATCCAAACCCACATCAAGTGGCAGGCTGGGGCCCCGACTCTCCCGATTCTCTGCGGCTGTCTGCCTCGAGCGCTGTTAATTAAATCCAAGACAACTCAAGTCGGGATGATGCCCACTCCCACGCCCACGCTCCACCCTCGCCGTGGGGGTGGCTGTGGCTCCAGACAACGGGGTGGTGAAATTAGCCACAGTCAAAAGTCATTGCGTTGATTACTTTTTGAAAATGACGCGAGCAAATTTCCCAAAAACTTTAATTGTTTTAGCTGGTCCGACATGAAGGGGAGGGGCTTTGGCGGCTGGAGTTGGAGTTGGAGTTGGGGGTAGGTTGTTCCTCTGGGGTTGTCTGGACGCATTTAAATTTGAATTAATTGCTGAACATCGCTGCATATATGAGGCGCAGGATTTATGTGTGCCCGATGAGTCGGCAGGGCAGATCCAGGTCCAGGTCCAGGTCCAGTCATGTTGATGCCATTAAGCGCTCCCTGGAATTTTTATGACCCACCTCATCTCATCTCACACACACCATCCATCTCTCTCTCCCTGTCTCTATCGCAGGTCCGCGAGCCCGCAAACCCAAGAAGCCAACGACGACCAGTGCCGCGGGTGGCAGCGGGAGCAGCGACAAGGGCGATACGGACGCTGGCAACGTGCCGGAGGACAAGCGTCCTCGGACGGCCTTCAGTGGACCGCAGTTAGCGAGACTGAAGGTAAGTGGATTCCTATCGTTAAATTATCGAGAAAGTTATCTTCTCTGAGTCTGATAATCGATTATATATCGGAGCAAATACTGACCTTGACCCACATTCTCTGCTTCGCTCTCTCTGTATCCTCCACAGCACGAGTTCAATGAGAACCGCTACCTAACGGAAAAGCGTCGCCAACAGCTGAGCGGAGAGCTGGGCCTGAACGAGGCCCAGATCAAGATCTGGTTCCAGAACAAGCGGGCCAAGCTGAAAAAATCGAGCGGCACCAAGAACCCCCTGGCCCTGCAGCTGATGGCCCAGGGCCTGTACAACCACTCGACGGTGCCTCTGACCCGCGAGGAGGAGGAGCTGCAGGAACTGCAGGAGGCGGCAGCCGCCTCCGCCTGCAAGGAGCCCTCGTAAGGGGACCCTTCGGCGGCAATATCTACGATTAGTATTTATAGAGTAGTCCGTAAGTCTAGTGCCCTAAGTTGTACAATATTCTAGTCCCGCAGTGCCGCGCAGAGCGGTGGGGTCGGAGTCGGGGACCCTCTGTTGCGTGCGTGTTTTGTATAATATCAAATAGATTCATAAATTCACAACTAAATAATTTAATAAACATTTAAATTATACGGATCTCGTGGTCGTTGTCATTATGGGGGAATTTTTGCATAATTCGTGTTTAATTTTCATATCTCTTTATGGCCCACAACCAATCGAGGCCAGGTGGGTGGTCCACCCGTCCAGAGGTTGGCCGCAGGCGTCGGAGTCATCATTAATTACTCAATTAACAATCCAAGTTTGGATCGTATTGGATTGGATTGGATTGGCGCAGATCAAGAGATTGGCCACAATTGCGGGGCTTGGGCTTAGATTCGAATGAAATTCATTATGCAAATTGGATTTCAAAGCGCTATCTTTGAGCATAATCGTGGTTAATAAACGACTCCGACCGATGCCTAGCATTATACCACGAGTATTATTAAATTCTCTTTTTTTTCTCGTTTCTCTCCTTCCTCTAATTTAGCCATTAAATTTGCATACACACACACACACACATGGGTCTCCCCTCCCTTCCACTCTCTGGCTGCTTGTGTGTGAGTGTTGCCAACGGCACAAATTGACAACTTGACGGCAAAAGCGGCGTCAACGCGACGGCTTCGGCTTCGGCTGCGGCGGCAGAGCTTTGCTTAAAGTGCAGCGTCAACATCGCGTAGGTGTTAAATGTGTCTGTCACTGCGACGATGGGTTTTTTGCCAGCGGGTGGGTGGCAAAGAGAGAGCGGGCAGAGACAAAGAGTGGGAGAGTGGATCGCAATCACATGCGTGCTAGAGCGCAGAGAGGAAGATGTTCCACTTACTTTATTCTTACTCTCTGAAAGCTCGTTGCTACTCGGAGAGCTGTTCAGAACTTAACGATTGATCAAAAAGAGTATTAAAATCTTCTGCCTCACAAAAATTCGCGTCTGTCTTGTTTTAATCTGTTATTCCGGGCAATAAACTTTATGTGTAACAGTTATAGTTGTTGCTTTATTGAATATTTAAACTTGTCGCATATTATGGCAAATCGAACGCATTGAGAGTGTCCCGTACCCCCCTTGACGGGTTTGAGAGTTTAACGGCGAAGGCAGCACCGTTAAAAGCAAAAACAAATTCGCTATCACCTCGGCCTGCGCAAAAAAAAACGTCTTAATTCGCCGTGAATGATTTACAGTTTGGTTTTGGGTTTCTTTGTTGGCGACATTTGTTTGTGCATTGAGCAGGGGAACAAAGAGATCAGCAGAGAGAGAGAGAGAGAACGGATCCAAGGTAAGCGTAATCAAGGTATATTTAGTAAATGGGGTAAGGCGCTCCCACCTGCCACTCGTTTTCTTCTCGTGTCTCGCTGCAAGACAATTGAGAGAGCAAACATTTTAGGCAGCTGTGAGAGCACACTCTTTAAATCCCTCACCTTGTTTGAGTACACCGTGGGAGCAATAACGTAAGTATTAACGTATTGCACTTTATTTGCATGTCCATTCGTGTTCGGCTCTGTGCGTATACGTGTGCGTGTGCTGGGCCTGCATGTGTGTATGTGTGTGCTGGGTGTGCGTGGGAGTTTTTGCGTTTCTTAAGTGATTTTTTATGGCACGCGTCGGAATCGGCGCGACAGCGATATAACTTCATAAAAAGTCAATTTAAGTTTAGTAATATTTTGTTGAATTTATAGTGGAGAGTATTTTGTTTAAGCATAATTTTTTTACGGCTCAGCGACACTTTGGAACTGGAATGTAGAAGGGACACCCTGACTTTGGTTCTTTAGAGGGCAGTCCTACGAATGGACTGGAACAGGATCTCCATGAGTCATGGGTCTGGGGTGCGAGTATATTACGTTATAAATTCAATAAATGTGACCATAAAAAGGCCCATTCAAATACCTTGCCCGCGTACATTAATCCCGCTGCCTCCTTAACCCTTACCGCCCAGCCCCCCTCCAGGGACACACATTACAACGCCTCGAATGCTGCCGCTGTTGGAGCTGTAGCCTGTCCCTGTCCCGAATCCCTCCGCCAAATGATTAATGTCTGGCAGGTCGCAGCCTTGGCCAGACTCCGAGTTGGAGTTCGAGTTCGAGTCCGCGTCCGAATCCGAGTTCGCGTCTGAGTCCGAGCCAGCGTCGGCCTCCAGGCCCCCAGTCAGGGTTCCCGGAATGCGAGAGAGAGAGCAAGTAACCCGAAAAAAAGACAATACGCATAAATCTATGGGGTTGACACTTAGTACCCAAAGACCACAGACTTCAAATGAATTTGTTTTGCACCAGCACCAGCTCCAGCATCAGCAGACCGAGGAGCAGGAGCACGAGCTGAGCGGAGCGGAGCGGAGCGGACAGAGGAGTGTGGAGTGAGAGGGGGTAGAAGGTCAGCTGAGTGGCGAGGCGTCATAAAATTGGCAACAAATTGTTTTTCACGCCGTTTTAAATACACATTTTTTAGCCGATACTTGGAGACCGTTTAATGAGCGAACCGAACGGAGCCGAACCGGGTACGGGTATGGATCGGGAACGGGAACAAGAACACCAGAAGGGAACGGGAACTGGAACTGGCACCTCTAACCCACGACAGGCAGTACACTGAGAGAAATCCTCTGAAGTTGGAAAGAACGTTCCTGAGCAAAGTCTTCTTTGTCCTTTATGATTACCAATCACATATCTAAACTAGATTTCAGTCAATTCATCTATCTATGTATATTTCTTCTAAAACATATACCAAACGGTGGTTAAAAATACAGAAAATCTTGAGGAATCTCTCTTACTTCAGCTCTCAGTTTGTACGTGAGTTTTTGTACAGTGTAGACGGCAGGCAAACGACATTATTCGACTTGACGAACGTTCAGCGTTGGACGTGGCTGGTTGCTGGACTCTGCCTGCTCGTTCGCTAATAAATTTGCGGCTAAGGAGATAAGCTTATAAATTTTAACTGTAATTATGCGACACAAGATTTATGAAGAGAGTCCGCCAACCAGCCAACCAGTCAGCCAGTCAGCCATCCAACCAGCCAGCTATCCAACCGTCCAGCCAGCCAGCTTTCCGTTTCGGTCTCGGATTATTAATGAAACACAAACTTACAACGAAATGCGCTCAGTCTCCGCCGCACACCCGGCCCCATCCCCATTCCATTTGGGGTAGGAGGCAGGCTAAGTGCGAGTGTAAGTGTCTGTGGGGCGGCGGCGGCGGCGGCGGCGGCGGCGGCGGCGGCGGCGGCGGCGGCACCCCTTTGGCCAAAAACTAGCACAAGATTTACGAGCATTCCCCCACTGGCCGCGCGTCTAATTCCCAGCGGCTTAATGAGTTTTTCGGGGCTGGTGCATGAAAATCTTTCAGCTGCTGCTCCTGCATCTACTCCGATCTCTGGCTCCTCTTCGCCACTCGGTTTCATTGATCCCATTGATGGGGCCCATGCATATGTGGGTGTGGCCTGTCTGACGAGAGAGATCCAGAGTCTCGGAGAGAGACCACCCACGTAGCACCAATCTGCTGCCAAGATCTGCGTATTTGACATTGCTGCGTTGATGTTGCCTCTGCCTCATTACGCCTGCGCGCAGACGAAATCACCAAACAGCCAGAAGGAAAAGAAGGAGAGCTCCAGAGCACCTTTTCGAGACCGAGGCATTGGATACGCTTGCAGAGCCCCATTTGATAGAGTAGTCCGATGAGAATAAACGTCAACAATATTGCAGCCCTTTCGAAAGCAGGATTGCCCGGAAGGCTACTGGGATCGTCACAGAAGAATACCTTCTGTCAGGGTATATTAATGGCTGTGTGGGAGATGCAGTCTAAATCAGCGATATTTTCAGCGCAATCCTTGATAGAGCAAATGAGGATCATCGCTGTGTGGATTATTGAGCTGTACTCGGCTGGCGATGAGGGGATTGATCTAGTGTGAAACAAGAGACGAATCTTTATAGCCACCATAAGATGGAGAACTTTAGGGAGGACTAAGAAGTGGTCCAGACAGATTAAAGTGGGAGGGAATGAAACATGAGTAAAATGAAAGGGTATGTCAACCGGATTGGTCTGAGAATTCAAGTCGACTGAGTTTTGGCCAAGTTTTCCTAATAGTTCGAGCTTCTACAGGCAGTAGCAACACGTTTACACCACCCCAAAGACCGCCCCTTAATGAAACGAAAACCAAACCATAAGGAAGTACCTTTCCCACCTGCTGGAAATGGGGGCTTAGAGCAAGAAGGAGACAGACTGCTGGGTGGGCTGGGTTAATTATGCAATGAAAATACTTCATAGCTGCCGTTGACATATGAAAATGTGGAAATTTCATTACATTTCCATTTCCATTCCATGCTTAGCCAGCCGGGAGGGGTAGTCAGTCGGTGCCATTCGGGGCGGAAGTATCTTGATAACATGCAAAACAAGCCATTTCCATGGGCCATGGGTCGGTAAGGTAAGCCGGGAATCGGGAGCTGTTTATGAACCTGCCAAAAGTGTGGAGCAGCCTGGGGATACGTATAGGAGGAGTAGGAGTATACCTTCCACAGATTATGACTCACTGGAGGTTAGTTTCTGTCTCTTTGGCTTCTTCCGCTTCAATTCAATTAGGAAAAGGCAATCGGAGCTGGCGATGGGAATGCGGGAGTGGGGGTTTGGGGGAGCTTGGAGACGGGATGTTCCAAAGCCGCATCGTAAAATCTAACGATGTGGCCCAACCCTGGGATTGCATTTTCACGGCACATTTGCAGCGCACTCTTAATTGTATCAGTGAGCAGAGCTCTAGAGTTCCAGAGTTCCAGAGAGACCCAACCCAAATCGCAGGACACTCCGTCCGGGCAACCCTTTTCTCTGTCGCCGGACGCTTAACGCGATTGGACACGCACGTCCGTGCGACGGGGGATGAGGATTGGGCAGGGCAATAAACACGTAACCCAAAGCCCGAATAATGTTTAAAGTGTTATAAAACTGTCACCAGGACAACCAGCAGATGTCACTCCTCGAGTGCCGGCCCGAGTCCCTCCTGCCCGTCCTTTATCTCCTTTGATATTGGGTTTTCGATTAAAATTAAACTCCTGCAACTGTTTACATGGTTAAACATCTGTGACCTGCCCTCCACATCCACCGCCACCAGTGGCAGTGTGGCAGATAGGCAGATA